AAATCAATCAAACATGGATGGAGATGGCTAAAATTTGAGATGGATAAATTGGCTGAAGAAGAAAACTTAGTTAATTTCTTTCAATATTCAAATATATCTTTTTTAACTTAAAAGAGGATTGTCGTGAAGTCACACATTTTTCCCAACTTCACGATCTTAATGTCATATAAGCCTAGTCAATGGTTAGAGGAGTTTGATAAATTCTGTTTTATTAAGTTTAAGGTTTCAACTAATCAAACGTTAAGTAAAAGGGTTTACAATACAAATTTATACAAGCACAGGGATCTATTAGACCATTTTGCCCGCAAAATATAAATAAGTTAATGCCTCTAACTTAATATATTTGTTACTTCGGCGAAGGAAATACAATGATTATGTCATAACTAAGAGCTTAGCTAATAAAACAATAAAGAAAGAAGTCCTCATCCATCATCTTGCTTTTGCTAGGTTTGATTGTTACACAATTGATAATGCCAACACCATCTTTTCAGTTCTTAAATCTTAATTTAAGTTCTATCTATTTTATTATGTACTTCTATATGTTCAAAATAACTAGTAACATTCATATTATCATTATAACTAATAAATTCTAATTAAATATAAATAAAAAAAATATCATAATAATATATGTTAAGCAACTTAGAATTCCTGCTTCAACTTTGAATTATTTGTTTCACCCCCGGTGTTTATGGTTGTTCTCCATCGCGTATTATTTTAACTTCATTCATGTGTGTGTGTGTGTATATATATATATATATATATATATATATATATATATATATTTTCTTCTGAACATGTCTTAACTAATTATGAAAAATTCTGTAATAAAGATATTGTTACGTATGTATTTATTGTACAAGTGATTTATGAATTATTAACATTTTAATAGAGATATGAGGTCTAGATAGGTGGAAAAATGTTTTTATATTAATTAGTATTCACCAAAGTAAATTTATATTTTTAACACGTATATATTTATTGTACAAGTGATTTATGAATTATTAACATTTTAATAGAGATATGAGGTCTAGATAGGTGGAAAAATGTTTTTATATTAATTAGTATTTATCAAAGTAAATTTATATTTTTAACAGGTGTAGAAGTTTCCCTTTTGTTTATGCGTATATATATATATATAAATTTGATTTACTCATCTTCGTATACTATTGATCAGAAGCATTCAACAGCTCCTCGCCGGTTTAGAATTCGAACACAAAATGGTTATACTTAAGCAATTCTTCATATTCTTCTTCTTTCTTAGTTGAAGTTCCAATTCTCCGGCAGCTAATTTAATTGTTTCTAAGCTGGACGACTAATTTGATTGATGTATCGTACATTACTGACATTGCACTATGTTTTCACATTGTTTGGTATCTACAACCATCTCTTGAAAACTCTGGTACTTGTGACAATAATTGATTACAGGAAAAATTGTATATAATGGCAAACTAATAAATTAAATTAAATGTTATAACCACACTTTGATTTAATTGTGCCATGTACCAAACTGTTTGTCAGTCACCTCTCTCCTCAAACTCTCCCTCGCCACTCTCCCTCTCTCGCTTCCTCTCACTTTTATACAAACACAAGTGTATAAAATATGTTTTTGTTTGTATAAAGCAAATTTTTTTTGTATATATACAAATATTTTCGTTTCCCTCTCCTAGATCACGCTCGCTACTCTCCCAGATCTCGCTTGCCACCTTCGCCTCTATCGCTTAAACAAACAGAAACGAAATCTATAAATTTTATTTTATTTTGTATAAGCGAGAGAAAATTGTATATACACTTGCAAATACATATATTTTCTTCATATACACTTGTAGTTATACAATACAAATATTCCTATCGCTCAATTTTGTTTTATCTTTTTCTCTTTCTCGTTTTATATATACAAATTATATAATTGATTTGTATGCTGCTTTCTTTTGTATATGTATAGGGAACTATACAATTGGTTTCTTTGTATATGTGTAGCGAATTATACATATTTATGTTTACTATGGAGCGCAATTATGTAATCTTTTCTATAATATACAAATATATATTTTGTGTTTGCTATATGTGAAAGTTTCTCTTGATTATATTGTCGTATAAGGTTGTTGTTATGCTTACTAATGAGTGATTTAATGTGAAGAAAATGTCGTTTCCTTTCGAGTTATTTCAAATGTGTTATCCTTAATCATATGGGATTAGTTTATTTTTGTAAATATTTATATTTGATTGGGTTTGATGTTCATTTTTTTTTGGACAACATTTTTGTAGCCTTATTATGATAGAGAAGACATTAAAATTTTGTGTTTACTTTTGTGCTATTCATGTATTATTTATACCATGTGAAATCTCTTTTAATATCAAAATTTGATAGCAAAATGCTCAAAATACTCAAAATGTCAACAATCACAAAGGTGAAACACTCAAAAATATAAAATTAAAATTCATGATTCGAGACAAACTTCAAAATTTAATCACTTTTTTACACACTAACCATCACAAATATACTAATCTTATTTATAATCCCATCAAAAACCGCATATGATACTTATCATTGAAAAAACAAAGAAAGTTAACATCTAAAAATATCAAATTTAAGATAATCTTACAAAAATAATGGGTTAAACTCAAACCTTGATGAAGAGAAATGATAGTTAAGCTTTGAAGCGTTGATACGACAATCATGATTGCAACAAATTGAAGCAATTGAGGGTTCTCTGCATGGAGATGACTAATATTAAGGTAGAGTGGGAAAGATGAATCTGAAACAGAGCGCATAGAGACTAGTGTTTGCTTCAAACTAATTACAGTAAACAAATTAAGGTAGGGGGGTTTCTGCACATTAAAAAAATAATTTTAAAACATACATGAAATTACAAAATTCTATAATAAACTGTCATAAAAATGAAATGCATAATAAAAGAAATGAAAACTAAATACCTAACAAGTTGTGACTATCACAAATGTAAACTTGCGAAAGAAAAAGAGAAGTGAGAAGACTTAGAAGGGCAACACCAATTTTCAAGCATCCATGAGTAGTTTAAACCAATATAGGAACATGCAAGAAGTAAATTCTACAATAACACATTCAAAAACAAGAAAGTCCGACAAAAAAAGACCCCAAGAGCCGGAAACAAATACACATTAGGAATTGAAGGATAAAAGTAGGTATTTTAGGATTACAGAATAAACATACATCTTTGAAGAGAAAAAATAGATGTTGAAAAGGGGCAAATACTCACCAGTTTGAAGCTTGAATGTAATGACCCAAAAAATCATATTTGAATATTTTGGAGCTATTTGTTAATTACGATTTTGTTAACGAGTGATTTTAAATAATTAATTTTAGTTGGTGGCTTATGGGCTAAGTCCATAATTTAGTTAAAACGTTATACTAGTTGGCCCATATATATTAAATTAAAATAAAGGGAAAAATTTTAAAACGATAATATTTCAACATTTAATGGTGTCTCATAGCAGAACTTTTAATATTTATTAAAGATGTCAATATTTTAGTTTGTTATTCTTGATTTATATATTTTTTGCCATTTGTTTAATTTAAAATACAATTAGTTAACAGACTAGAGAAATCAAGGAAAATAATATTTCAAATAAAGTAATTTTAAATTTAAACCAACAAAGTTACCATAATTACTAGTCATAATTTTTGAATAACTTTAAGTCCACTTAGATTTTTTTTCACTACTCTTATACTCTTTTCATCTTTTATTTTTGAGATTAAATTTACAAAAATTCCTTTCCTATTATATGTGTTTGGTTCCACGATTGACATTACTTCGTGTTATTTAAATCTCAAATTTTCAATATTAATCTTTTAACTCTTCATTGAAAATATTCAATCTATGTCGAATTGAAGTCTATTCATTTAAGATTTTTGTTGGCAGTGATCAAGATTTTAGAATGAATACAACATTTAAAATAAAACAAAATTTGCTAGCATACAAAGTGATCACAAAAAATCTAAAACTTGTTAGCATACATTTAGAATGAATACAAAATAAAAAAAGAAATACAAAACTTATTGGCATACAAAGTGAGATTGAAATATAAAGTGAACATAAGAAATCTAAAACTTAGTGCCATACACTTAGAATTAATACAAAAATAAAAAATAAAAAAAATACAACACTTATTGGCATACAAAATGAGAATGAAATACAAAATTAACACAAAAATTACGAAACTTGTTGGCATAAATTAGAATATATACAGAAATAAATAAACTACATGAAGCTTAATTTAGAATAGCATACAAAATTTTGTAAAACTATTTATCTAATACAAAATTAAACATATACATATTTTGAAATGAATCCAACTACAAAATAAATACAAGTTACACATAAAAAAACTCAAATATTAGCAAGTTATGCATGAATTTCGTAATGAATACGAAATGCAACAAACGATAAAAACATCAAAGAATACAATTTGATAGTTTAGATACAAAATGCAATATGCCATAAAGTTGTTTTCATTACCCTGATCTTCAATAATTTTATCAATTTTCCAAATATTGACATTCGAAAATGACACTTCTTCGCGTGATACAACTTTCAGATTTAGATTCAATTCTTTTGAGTGATTTATCCTAATATTGACGCTTGAAAAATGACACTTCTTCACCTGATACTTCTTCTAGATTCAGGTCCAACATACAAAACATATACAATACTTTTGTATCTCAATACTTCGACAAAGATTGAAGATCTTTTGAATGATTTCTAAGATTTCTTAGAAAAATAGAGGATTTTGATTTAAGAAAAAGACAAGGTTTAAGTTACTTGAGGATATGGAATAATGAAAAAAATCTTTATAGAGAAAAAACGAAATGATTGAATTTGAGTAAAAATATTTAGGGAGTGAAAAGTGGATACTGACTATTATTTTTAGTCAAAAAGTGGGCCTAATTGTTCTTGGTGAAGATCAGCAAGTATTTCCTCAGCCACAACACTTGACATGTTGAAGATGTTGTTGCAACGTATTTAGCCTCGGAAGAAGACAACATTGTTGTTGATTGTTCCTTTGAGCACCAAGTAATAGCTGCATAACCAAAAGTGAAAAGATCCCCAGAAATACTCTCTCTATCATTCACATTCCCTGCCTAATCACTATCTGAAAAATCATTGACATTAAAATTACTACTTCGAAAGTACCATAGTCTGAATCCTGTAGTTCCAGCAACATAGCGCAAAACACTTTTAGCTGCTCCGTATGATGCTTCAAAGGCCAATGCATCAATCTAGAAACCATTCCAACAGAAAATGATATGTTAGTACGAGTGTGCGTTAAATAAATTAAGCCTCCACTAAACTTTTAAGATAACTTCCTTCAACTTTTTCAGTATCATCATCAAATTGCAGTTTCTCATTAACATTCATAGGAGTATCCAATGTTTTATCATTAAGTATGTTAAATATTTTGAGAAGATCAGTGGCATACTTTCTTTGAGATATAAAAATTACAGCTTCTTCCTTATTCACTTCAAGTCCAAGAAAATAATGCAACACTCCCAAATCCATCATTTCAAATATTTTCATCACAGAAGATTTGAAGTCACATACAAGAGAGTAAGATGAACACATATAGATCATATCATCAACATACAAATACTCAAACAAATGATAAATTTTTTCATATTTCTTCACATACAAAGTTGGATCATTCTTACGTCTTTCAAACCCTTTTCTCTTAAATGTGAATCGTTTTTGTTGTACCATGGGCGAGGAGCTTGTTTTAGCCCATAGAATGCTTTCCTCAACTTGTATACTTTGTTCTCCTTTCCTTTCTCTACATAACCATCTGGATGTGCTACATATACTTCGTCTTTCAATTAATCACCATTAAGTCCAGGAATGCATACTTGACATCAAATTAATAAACCTTCCACTTTAATTGTACAACCAAAGCTAAAAGGATTTTTACTTCTTCAAAATAGAGAAATTGGAGAGAAAGTTTTGTCAAAGTCAATGCCTTGTTGCTGCGAATATCCTTTTGCTATCAATCTGGCTTTGTGTTTCTGCTCACTTCCATCAACATGGTACTTTGTCTTGAACACACATTTTACTTCATAACATTTTTTTCATCTAGAAGGTTAATCAACTCATTATTCTCATTTTTCCTTATTTCCATAAGTTATTCTTCCATTGTACACCTCCTTTCATTTTTTGTTGAAGCTTCCTGAAATCTAGCTAAGTCTACACCAAATAGAACAAAGGTACATGTTTCATACATATCTGGAAGTGATCTAAGCATTTGTGGAGGAGTTTCACTGGAACCTTCTGAGTCAGGCACCATCAATGTTGGTCTTCTGACTTGTGTCGCTGCAGTATCCTAAAGAGTGGCTTAGTGTATTAGTAAGAGACTCAATATTATCAAGAGATTGACTTACTTTTTCACTAGGAAAGAATTCATCTTCCATTATATCTTGTGAACTTTTATTGTTGCTTTCCAATTTCCACGAAGTGTTTTCATCAAATACAACATCTCTCCTAATAATTACCTTAGAATTTGTGGGATTATACAATTTAAAAGCCTTATATTCAAAACAAATATCCAAAAAGATGTTTTTTCAGATTTTTCATCAGGTTTTTTATGATGATGAGAATATATTGGAGCACATGCAATACAATAAAAAATTCTGAAATGACTTACCCACGACTTTCTACCTTTCCATATTTCAAAAGGTTTCCGACCCATAACTCCTTTAGTGTGAGATACTAAGAATATAAATTGGAGTAGGAACAAACTCAACCCAAAACTCATTTGGAATATTTTTACTCTTTAACATGCTCCTGGCCATCTCCACTACATTTTGGTTCTTCCGGTCAACAATCCCATGTTGCTATGGAGTGTAAGGTGCAGTAAATTCCATGTGAATTCAATTTTCTTCACAAAAGAACTTAAATTCTTGTGATAAGAACTCACCTCCTCCGTTGGTATACAGATCTTAACTCTCTTACAAACTTCGTTTTCAACCAACGCGTTGAATTTTTTGAAGCTTGAAAAAGTTTCTGATTTGATCTTCAAAAAGTATATTCAACTCATCCGAATGTAATAATAAGTTAATAACAAAAAATATCGAGAACCAACAAGAGATTATGTGTCCATAGGACCACATAAATCTGTATGAACAATATCAAGACAACCAGTAGCTCTTAAGGGTCTTCCAATAGGAAAAGAATTTCTATGTTGTTTTCCATATAACCTTCACATGTATTTTCAACAAATCTTATATTTTCATCTAATTTTGACTTAGAAATCTCAATCCGTTCATATTCAAGTGTCCATAACTCAAATGCGACAACTTAGATTCATCAAGATTTTTCTTACTAACAATCAAGGCTTGTCAACTTTTGAAACTTCAAATGGAAACATTTTATTCTATATCATGTGAATATTTGGTAAGATTTGACCAGCTTTCTTATTCTTAATAACACATGAGTAATCATCAAACAAGACGGAGAATATACAACTCAACAATTGCTCAACACTTAGTAAGTTTTGTGCCAAACTAAGAGCAAATAATACATTCTGAATAAGTTCCACTTTACCTTGACTAGTCTTGACATAGATAGTACCTTCACCTCCGACTTGAATTTCCTTATTATCACCAAAAAAAATTGCCTTTTTTGCCTCATTTAACTCTGTAGATCCTTTTCTTTCACCGGGCATGTGATGGGTGCATCCCCTATACCCAAACCAAATATCATTCTTGTAATTTATGGTGGTAAAACGAGCCATGAAAAACACACTTTCTTTTTCCTCTTCCTCAGCATAACTAGCTTGATCATTTTTATACCAACACTTAGCTTCTATATGGCCAAACCTATGAAAATTGTAACACTACACTCCACCTCTACGACTATTTTCCCATCCAAATTCGCTTCTACCTCTACCACGTCTTCTGCCTCTAAAAGAGCCTCTGCGAAGTCCAGTGCTCCTTGTTCTAACGACTTCTCATTTTGAATTGGATGTTCTTCCTGTAATTGAAAATCTTGTTATTTTGTTATCACTATTAACTTATTGATCCATGACTCATGAGATTGCAGAGGGCCCAATAGTTCATCAAATGAAAACTCAGATAAGTCTTCTGATTCCTCTATGGTTGCAACCACATGATCATACTATGGAGGTCAACTTCTTAAAATTTTTAAAACTATAATTTTATCACCTATTTCTTCACAATATGATTTTATTTGACTTACAATTCCACTAACTCTTATTTCTTTTCATGAAAAATGTTTCAAAATCACGACGAAAAGATTGTAGTTTCACAGTAATTACCTTTGACAAACCTTGAAACTCAATTTTCAAAATTATTCAAGCATCTCTTGAGGTAGTAACTTATGCAATACTTGAGAAGACTGTCTCATGAATGACTTTTTGATTAAAGAATAAAGCTTTTGCATCCTTCTTTCTGATTTATTTCATCTCTTCTCCTCCTCTACATTCGGTTCTGCTACATCTGTGAAACCATCTTCAATCAAGCCCCACAACTCTTAAGACCTAAACAAGGTCTTTGATATACCGTGGTTTCACAGTATTATTAATACTTTTTTCTTAAGTTTAGTGTGTCCAAAAGCCTTTTTGTGCTAATTTTTATATAAGTTTCTCCTTATTTGTAGGAAATCTGTTCAAAGATGTATGCAGAGGTTTTTGAGTGAAGAAATGCAGAAGAGACCACCTACGGAGCTTGTGACGGTCCGTAGGTGTCAGCGTAGTGCAACTGCTAAAGGAAGAAGGGGAAGTTTGACCAAGTATGGGGTTACGGAGTCCATGACGGTCCGTCGTGTCTATGACGATCCATCCTGCATGTTCGTCATGAAGCTCAGAGAAGTAATCCCAGTACCCAAATTCTAAGAGTTTAAGTGTTTTGGAACGAAGACCCTCGACGGATCGTTGTGCCTACGACGGTCCGTCATACTTGCCGCCGAGGGTAATGAAGAGAACAGTAGAAGAAATTTCATAAAGTATGGGACGACAGAGTCCATGACGGTCCGTCGTGACCACGACAATCCGTCGTGAGGTCTGTCGACCCAGCCGCGTTTTAACAGATTTCCAGCAAATAGAGTCCTTCTTTAATTAGGTTTTTATTTTCTATAAATAGTTCGAAAAACCTCATTTTTTGGGGTTGGATTCTGGACCATTGTTAGACTCTGAATTATTTGGTTAGGCCTTTGATTATCATTAGACTTTTTGTGACATTCTTGATTACTTTGAGATTCTTGCAAGTGATTGTTGGTGATTAATCAAGAAAACTTTCGGAATTTACTCTTTCTCATTGAAGTAAGTACATGAATTCTTATATAATATATTTGAATATTGTGATTATGACTATGGGTAACTAAACTCCATAACTAGGGTTGTGGGAACCAAAGGCAAATAATGAGGTAAAACCTAACTAAAATAACAATTCTAGAATAGTGTCTTGCATGTATTAATAGTTCTTTCGCTTAGAAGTCTTTTTAATGAATGGACAACCTTAGAACTCGCTTTAATGCTACTTGCCGGAATAGGAAAAGAATTATCAACATAGATTTAGTGTATACTATCTAATAGGCTAGTATTGATTGGTACGAGGTAATAACTTAGTCAAATAGCGAATACAATGCTTAATATGAGGTAAATATGAGGGTTAGGATAGGAACACACGTAGCCGGACCAAGGTGCGGAGTGAGATTTTCTAGATGTCGGATCAAGGATTTAGAAATACATAACTTATCAATTTACATGCAACATACTAGAAAAGAATTGTTATAGTTAGAATTATCAAGTTATGAACCTGTGGGGAACACGTAAACCCTAGTTACTTTGATTAATTGATTAAACTCCAACATTCAAAGATGTTAAGTGTCTCTTTCAATTTCGTTAGTTATTTTCATTCATTTAGAAATAGAAACCCCCTTTTTACTGTTTTTTGCTTTCCAAGGAAGTAATGGACCGAACAATAGTAATAATAGGTTAAAGTTTAGTCTAAACTATTTTCCTCGTGGGAACTATCCCAACCTCACTAGTTGGGTTATTTACTTGACACGACCACTTTACTTCTTATTTGAGAAGTAAGTTTGAACGTATCAAATTTTGGCGTCGTTGCCGGGGATTATAGCTTTTAGATTAACTTGAACTCATTACTATAGTTTAGTTGATATTTTCTTGATTTTACTTTGTTTTTAATTTTTTTACTCGTGCAAAACCAACCTCCTTGTATGCCAAATACACGGAGAGGAAGAGAACCCTTGTTTCCCTACGATCACGAATTAGAGGTACACTACGCATCATGAATCGAAACTTGGGAATCAATGATGACGATCCAAACCAGAACATCCCAGCTCAGGTTGATGTTCATGGTCAGTTGTTACCCGACGCTCTGGGTGAACACCAACAGAGGGGACAAAATCCCGCTCCACGGCCCCAAGCATACTACAGAGGCTATGATAACATAGCAGACTCCGATCGGCCACTTGTTTTGCCTCCTCTACCCATAGACCATACTTTTGTGGTAACTAGTAGCCTGATGCAAATGCTCACTTCTAGAGGTTTGTTTTCAGGTTACCTTCTGAGGATCCACATGCCCATATAGCTAAGGTAAGGGCAGTGTGTAAAAGTTGTGTAGGAAGGCCTGACTTAGACTTAGATGTAATAGGGCTAAGAGTGTTTCCTCTCTCACTGACTGGAGAGGCTGCTATATGGTTCACTGAGCTCCCTTACAACTCAATTTTTCACTTGGAACCAACTAAGGGATGTCTTCTTAGCACGCTACTATCCGGTCTCCAAGAAACTAAACCACAAAGACAGAGTGAACAACTTTGTGGCACTACCACGAGAGTCAGTTAGTAGTTCTTGGATAGATTCACCTCGTTCTTGAGAAGCGTCCCAAATCACCGTATAGATGATGAGTAACTGAAGGAATACTTCTATTGGGGACAGGATGATAATAATAAAGCGGTATTGGACACAATAGCAGGTGGATCTTATGGGGAGTGTCCTTATGCTGAGATTGCTGAAAAATTAGAGAAAATCTCCCGGAATAATAAAGCTTGGAGTACTAGGAAGTCAGATACCGGGAGAAACACCTTCGCAGTGCAGTCCACTCACAACCCAGCCACAGATGAGATTCATGAAGAAAATGGCTCAGATGAGAACTGAGCTTGGGTTAGTATTAAAGCATGTCACTGGGGGTGCAGAATAGATAAATGCAGTCAACTACTTGTCGAAACCACCGCCACCTAATGATGAATGCTATTAAGCGGAGGACACCTATGAAGTAAATGAGCAGACGAGGGGTTTCCGACCGAGTGCCCAAGGCTCAAATCATGATAATTGGAGCCAAGGTCGGATCTATGGTAACTACAACCATGAGGGTCATTATGTCCGAGATGGAAACTACAACCCCGACAACAACTTTAACAGGGGTAACTACGGTAACAGAAATGATAGGAATGGGCCCTATGTCCCTCCTCTAAATTGTGAAGTTACACTTAGGGATGGTGGAGATAGTATGGCGCGAGTTGAGGATATGTTGCACAAAATGATGAGGAGGTTCGATGCTACTAATGAGAACATTAAAGAGTTAAGGTGAGATTTGCAAGTATTGGGCAAAAAGTTGATACACATGTAATATAGATTAAGCAGATCGGGTTACAAATGGCCCAATTATCTGCGACAGTGAACACACGGCAACCGAGCACTCTTCCTAGCAACACTGTCCAAAATCCAAAAAATGATACGCACTATATGGCAATCACTACTCGGGGTGGTAAGCAAACCATTGACCCACCTATGCCGTCTAATGAGGAAAATTTGAGAAAGGATGATGATAAGGTGGTAAAGGGTAGTGGTGAAGCAAAGGAAAAGATGCATAAGTCCTTATGAAGGTAATTCTCATGCCAAGGCCACCACCACCCTTCCTTCAGAGATTAGTGAAAAAGACCGAGGATGGTAAATATTGACATTTTATAACAGTGCTGAAGCAGCTTTCTATCAATGTCCCTTTGGTAGAAGCTCTTGAACAAATGCCCGATTATGCCAAGTTCATGAAATATCTAGTTACAAAGAAAATATCGGTGACTTTTGAGGATGATGATAGACTGCAGCATTGTAGTGCTATTGCTACAATATCTCTCATACAAAATAACGAAGATCCGGGTGCGTTCAGTATTCTTTGTACAGTCGGGTCATTACATTTTGCGAAAGCAATATGTGATCTGGGGGCAAGCATAAATCTCATGCCCCTCTCGATTTACAAGAAGTTGGGTTTGGGTGACCCAAAACCCACCGCGATGCGGCTACTGATAGCTGAGCGAACAGTGAAAAGGCCTATAGGGATACTCCATGATGTGCTAGTAAAAGTGGAGTCATTCATATTTCCGGTAGATTTTGTTATTCTTGAATGTGAAGTAGATTTTGAAGTGCCTATTATTCTTGGGAGGTCATTCCTTGCTACAGGTAGAGCCTTAGTTGATATGGAAAAGGGGCAGATGAAATTTCGGTTGAACAATGAAGAAGCGACCTTCAACGTTTGTAGGACCATGAGGCAGAGTGGTGAGCTCCAATCGGTACCGCCATATCCCACAAAGAAAAGATGAAGAAGGAGAATGAACAAAAAAGTGCAAAACAAGAGTTTATGGTTGGGGATTTGGTGCTTTTAGACAGATCTGGGTTGCCTTGTCTTCCGGTCAAGCTCAAGTCCAAACGGACTGGCCCTTACTTGATTACCCAAGTATGCCCTTATGGAGCAGTTGAGTTAAAAACCAAGGAGGGAGTGCGGTTTAAGGTGAATAGAGAATAAATAAAACTCTATTTTAGGCATACTGCATCGGTGAATGAAATGATAGAGGCATGCCATATTGATGAAGGTTGAGTAATCAAGTGTCCTCAGTCGTGCCACGACGTTAAATAAGGTGCTTGTTGGGAGGCAACCCAATACTTATATTTTTTTCTTTCTTTCTAGTAATGGTAGCATTTTCTACTAATGGGTTTT